TCTTTACATGTACAATGGGGGTCCTTCCATCTGTCTAAACTATTCCCCAAAGGTACTTAGGGAACAGCTCCTTCAGCAGACATTTATCGAGTGCCTACTATGAGCCAGACGGGTGTGAATGTGCCTTACAATATGTAATGGAGTATGAATACAACAAAAAATTCAGCCAGCTATTCCCATAATAATTTAGTAAGTACTAAGCTCCCACGCTCCTGGACTATGTAGCCCTCCTTTAGAAATAGGATTTCTATAAGAGGAGTATGAAATTTAAATTTTAAACAGGATCTGAAAGTCTTTGAAGTAGTCAAAAGTCTTTTGAGCTTCTCAATGCTGTGAGTGAGCACTTCCATTCAAAAACGAGGGAGAAAGAAGAGATGCAAGTTCTGGGCTTGGAAGGTGCCCACGATCTGAGGTTTCCAGACAAAAATGTTTAGAATTTTGCCAGTTAGGCCCCTACAAATTAGAATCAGAGTGGCAGATGCTTTAACAAATGGAAGCACATTTTGCACAAAAAAACAGTGAGATCTAGGTCCTTAAAGACCCAAAGCGCACCCTAAGACCCGGGCGAAGAAGTGTCAGTCTTGGATGCCCAAGGGCAGCCCGAACAAGGCCTGGCATTTTGAGTTGGCTGGAGTGTGGAGTTCACTCTGATGGTATGCTTTTCTTCATACCTGGAAGCCAGTAGGAGATTAATAAAGTGCAATTTTTCTAGGGACTATAAAAATCATATGATGCCTGGAAAATAATGAAAAGATTTGGCATAATTGATATGACAAAGAAAGATGCTCCTTTGAAAAAATAACAGACATCGGTGACAAGTACAGAGGGCATTTAGGAGAAGTTGAGTTTCCACTTAGCTTTTCTAAAATCAATCTTGGTCACTTTACTGAAAATAAAATCACGAGTGTGGTTCCAGCATGTTCCATTTATTCTCTGGTCTTTGTTATTCCTCAAAGCAGCTTATCAGTAGCTTGTGTCATGGGAATTGTTTGTTGTCTCCCCCTGGAAACATCTGTGCCCACCTCTTGGTTTGAAAAGTTTCCTAAAGTATTATTACAAGGATTTGTCTGAATGATCTACTTGGACATTGGAATGGCTGTGGCCATAATGGGGTCATAGGCCTCCAAGTATCACATCTGCTCCTTTCTCAGGTAAGAGTCTAGACTGTTGGACTGCCACATCCCGCTGACTTCTCTTATGTGTTCTCCAGATTGTCCGTTCCCCTCATCACACTCATTTTAAATTTCTGAGGGTCTGTGTATTTACAATTATCCTCACTTTCCTGTGTCCTCACTCTTTTAATGGTTTCCTTAGTTCAGATCCACTGAGTTTTTGGTGGGATGACTCATTCTCAGACATTATAGCCTTCAAAATGGTATCCCAAGAAATGAATGAAAGAGGCAATCTCATTTTCTGCTATGCAGGGCATAGCAGAAATTGCCTCAACACTCCACCTTCTGATGAAAAACACTGCTGGAAACTGGATTAGCTATGTTTTAAAGCAGGTAGTCTCTTTCTTCACCTCATACTCTGAGAACAGTATTTCTCAGAGCACAGATGTTTCTAGAAAAGAAAAGAAAAAAAAAAGATTCTATGATCAAATAAGTCTGGGAAATGCTGGGTTAAGTAAAATTGGAGAGCTTTCTTTCTTATATGACTTTTTAGATCCTTTGATCTGCTAATTGCACCAAGACTCTCTAAGATTGACTTATAATATGCAGCATTTTCCCAAAATTCTTTATTCACTGAATCTTTGTTTTAAGACTTTCCTCCTGGGACTAATGTTCCAAAAGTTACTTTGGGAAATGCTCGTCTAGACTTATAACCCTTAGATTTAGTTTCTCCTGAGGAGAAAGCAAACTCATAGTGAAGGAGAACAGGACAGGGAAGAAATGGAAAAAGAATCTAACTCTTCAAGGGCCCAGTAATACTTAAATTGAATTTCCTAAGGAAAAATGAATTTCTCTGGAAAAGTAGCAAAGTGACTGGTTTTCTTATATTTCTTTATTTTCATGTGTTCTGATCTTTTAATAAAGCTCAAGAGACAATGGCAACATTTTGTAGTCCGTCTTCCAGAAGAGGGTTGGTTGGTCAACCCTCAGGCCACAGGAAAAGTCAGAGCTGGAAGATTCATGGGAAGGAAATCAGAAATCCCTTGGAAGAGACCTTTCCCCTTTAAGTCAGTTAACACAGGTACACTATGGACATTTAGTTTAAATCCCATCCAAATCAATCCATTTTTCAGACTTTATGCTGTCACCATAAGGCTGTCACTTTCTCCTGAGAAGTAGCTCCACTCCACACATATCAGAATATATGCTTTCACAATTATATATAGAGTTTGTAATCACCTGGGAAAGATTTCCCAGTCTTCCGATGACTGTGACATTCTGGAACTTAGTTTTATAACAATTTATGAGCTGTTGGTGATTATAACGGAGGGTATGGATGTCCTAGACCTGACAATCTAAGTCAAAAAGGTCACCAGCCCAGCCTTTTCCATCAATGGAGTCAACCTACTCATGCAGGTCTTCTTAGTCAATTCTATTTTCTCTAATTGAAAGAGTGTAGCAAGGAAGACTTATAGCTTTGCTGACTCCAATTTAAAACCACAGTTATCCTTCTGGTCAACGGTATGTCACTTTCAAGGTGAACTTCACTGTAGAGTAAGTTCCTAAGTCACGGGCCCCTAGTTAAGTCACCTTTTCAATGTCATTTTTGATTGACACGATCCAGGAAAAAACTGAACAAGTCTTGAATTTTTGTCTTCAGATTAGACAGCAAACTTCCTGAAGGCTGGGGTCTATCTTGTCCATCATGTTCTTTCCCAAGGCCAATGTAGTGGCTGGCATGGAATATGTGCTCCAAGTATTAGTTGAGTGAGCAAATAACCAGAAGCAGGACTCAGATCAGTCCACCACCACCCCTCCCAGGGCCTGAATTTCTCATTTGTAGAAGAGGATGAGGTTATCTGCCTCTACGTCAATGGGTTGCTTAGAGTGTCACTGGAATGAAGGATGTGAAAGTGGAAGACCATCACCATCCTCCCAACAGTAGCAATCACAAAGGTATTATTAGAGGTCCTGATGACACATCTCAGCCAGATACTTCTCAAGGCTAACTCTTCTGGGAAGGGCATTTCCCCTGAGCAATGATTTCTGCCCTATGACAACTGCTAGTGTTGGTAGACAAACATAAGAGGGTCAACCAAAACAGGAAGACCTCTATTTTGTGTTTAATAATGATCTCTGGAAAAGTAGCAAGAGACTAGATTTTGTGAGAAATATAATTTACCAGGCAGATAAATTTGATCTGGTATCCAGTTTCTAGCAGGACATATTGGCATATGTGTTTCTGTGATTAAACAAACCCGTTTGTTATCTCAGGAGGTCCTTGTGTGAATCCCTCCCCTAGTTGGGCTCCAAATCCTTCATTCTGCCTCTCTGCTCCTATCCCTCCAGGGGAAAGCCTAGCACCAATAAAACTTCACATTTACCCTTCCTAGGAGAAGGTCTAGGAGCAAAGGGCAGTGTGCCAAAAGGCAGGGACCAAGAACAAGAATGAAGATGTTCAGATAGTAAGATACCGGGTATACTAGGATGGATGAGTGTGGAGAGGTGGTGATGGCAAGAGAAGAGATTTGAAAAAAAAAAGCTAAATCAAAGCAGAACCACAGGCAGACAAGATAATGACATGAAATTTATATCTCTCTCTACTTTGCTGATCGCCAAATTAAGAACCATTTTGAGAGCTAATAATAAGAATTGGTGACTTTCTGCCCCTGGCTTCAGAAAACTAGACGTCCTAGAAGAACACCTGCAGTGTTGGGGTCTCTGAGGGCAAATGCTTCCCAGTACAGAGCCGGGAAAAGCTGGGTGTCGGGGCTGAGGGCCTTCAGGTTGGAGCTACTTCACTGTGGAGCTCCAGGGAGCACTTCTTATGTTGCATACTATATAAATGGCTCCCCCGGAGTTGTACTCCTGGTAGAACATCTTGGAGACTTGCCATCTTAACTTCTTCTTTGGGATACTAGTGACATGAGGTGCATAGGAAACAGAGCCATCTGAAAAACATCTTAGGAGCACAATAAATACCTCCTCCTCCACGGTTAAACCTCTCTTCACACAGGTAATTCCAGTAAGCCCTCCTCCCTCACATACCCAGAAATATATAACAAAGGCATTCACACTTATCCAGATGATTCTATTCCTTATCTATGGCCCCATCCCTCTGAAATTTATAAGTTATACTAGGATAACACACACAAGAAGCTCACAGTATAATAAAGGAGGAAATACTTCTAATATTGACTATATTAACCTGCTAGTTTGCATTTAATTTCATAATTTCCATGACATTCACCTTTAGGAGTTTTAATCCTACACACTATCAACAGTTTTTATATTTGGTGGGTGAAAGCACGTATTATTGAAAACTACAGGAGATTTTTGTTTTTGTCGATCCATCTTTTCACTTGCTTTAGTCAAGAGAGAAGATAGGATCCAAATCAAATAAACCAGACCCCTTGACTTAACCAGATAAAATGCAAGCAAAACTGATTTCTCTTCATGTTGTTTTACCCCACTGTTAATTTGCATCACTAAGGAATTTTCTAGGAAAGTGCTCAGCAAACTCAAGGCTTCTCTGGTTGCCAAGCTCATGGAAACAAAGTGCTTTCTCTTAAAATTCTGAAAGAGACATTCCAAAGTAACCCACCATTAGATACCGAGCCAGCAATAGACTTCGTATCTATGAAAGTAGAAAGGAGGGGAGGAAAGAAAATGCATAACATAAACAAGAACAGACAAAACCTTAAAGAGGAAGGAGAAAGGAAAACATTTAGACTCCTTGAGTGATGGAAATAAATACCAAAGCTATTAGTTTCAGTTCAAAGGACGTATCACTTTATGCTGTTTATTATTTCTTGAGGATTATTTATTTTATCTTAAAATATCCAAAGGGTAAAAGGGGTCCTGGAGGTAAGCGGCAATGAAACTGACCTGGTCGGGAGAGGGCCTGTGATTGGAATGTTGCGACCTCCCAGGAGATCGGTGGTGGTGGTGGTGGTGGTGGTGGTGGTAATGGTGGTGGTCCTCATCATAGTTGTCTGCCATCAGCTTCATTCTATTCTGGGTCTGCGCCGAACAAAAACCAGAGAAGACTCCATTAGGAGCTGGAAGACCAGCCAAAGAGATTCAGGGCATAATTATAGTACCTACAGGGCTCCAGAAGTTTTCATTTTTAGTCCAATTGAAACTCAATAAAGAATGCACCATGCCATTTGGTAAAAGAGGCTTCGTCACATCCTTGAAGCTACGATGTTCTTGAGCCTACCTGAGATAAATGTACTCCCCCCCCCCCCAACCAGGTGATTTAAAAGGGGGGAAAAATGGAAATACACCCAAAGTGCTCCGTTTTACATTATCAAGCAATCACACATATCCAGATAAACTTGCAATCACAAACTGCAGACAATCACATCCTACACTCTAGAGCAAGCAAGAGAAGGAAGTCCCGGACAGAGAAGATGAGAGAGAGCCAAGTGGAGACACAAAACTACAGATGAGTAATGGTCTTACGAGACAAAGCAGAGGAATCCATTCAAAAACTACCAAATGCAAAAGTAGCAATGGAGGAGGTTTGTAACTCCAACGGCTTCTAGGGAAGGGGCTCTTTGTGGACAATTTAGCTGATGGTGCCCTTTAGGGAAACTGAGCAAAAGGAGCAGAGTTGGTGTGAAAGAGCTGATCACTGTCACTTATGTCCCATTGTGTCACACCAGGCAACGAGGTGTCATGGCTTATATTCCCAGGACAAACAATTGTATTGTTTTGTTAGGTAAGGCAAGAAACAGACCAGCAATGAGTTGACTGAACAAGGTCACAGAATCTAGAAAAATGACTGAAGACAAGGGGGAAAAGCAGAAAAAAATATCCAGCGCGGAAAGCCAGGCAATGTAGAGAGTACCCGGAAAAGGAGGAAATGCAGCGTACACACGCTTATTTGGAGAGAAGACTGTCTGGATTCAAGTCCTGCTCTACCTCTTTGCGGGTTACGTGATCTTTTGAGGGGTAACTATTTGTAAGCTTTAATTTCCTGAACTATACAATGGGAGTAATGGTGCCTCTCTCCTTGGGGTCACCGTGAGGAGCAAGGGATCTGATGGGCTTCAAATGTTACCATAAAAATAAAAAACTGTTATTATTATTAATTTTGCTATGTTTACAGTAAGAAAACTCTCCTTCTTTACATGTCTCCTCTGCCTGCGGTACTTCCCCCAACCACTATCCCTCACCTCTCCCTTCTGTGTCTGGTTAATTCAGGATTTTTTTCCTCTAGGAAATTTTTCCTGATCCCACCCCTGATGCCAGGACATGCACACCTCCTGCTTATCATATGTAACCTCAGATCTATCTATCCTACTGTTGGTAGACTTGAGGCTGCTTCTTTCACCTGCCTCTCCCCAGAATCTAACAGGGCCTAGTAGACGTAAATGCACTGTGCATGCTGCTGCAGTGAGGGCACTAAAAGAAGGAAGTGCCAGAATTCTGAGGGATGCTGCCATCCTAGAGGCAACTGCACATTTGTTCTCAGCCAGGGAATGTCACTGAGAGTTGAGGACGTCTCATGAGTTGCTACAACCTTCCCACTGGTGGAATGAGATGACAGTGAGCCATCAGCACTTCAAGTAAGCTGGAAATCAAAGGCTGAAGAGCCTCCAACAGGTTGGAATTTTATTGTGTAACATAAATAATACTCTGATAATAATTCTGGACCTAACAGTACATTCCTGTAGTATGTATGTTTCACATACAATCTAAATTATCTTCAAAACTTTCCTGGGAGGGGCGCCTGGGTGGCTCGGTGGGTTAAGGCCTCTGCCTTCGGCTCGGGTCATGATCCCAGGGTCCTGGGATCGAGCCCCGCATCGGGGTCTCTGCTTGGCAGGGCGCCTGCTTCCTCCTCCCTCTCTCTCTGCCTGCCTCTCTGCCTACTTGTGATCTCTATCTGTCAAATAAAATAAATAAAATCTTAAAAAAAAACCTTTCCTGGGAGGAATAATTACTATCCTCCCTTGCAGAAAATGAAGGCAGAGATTTCAGCCCCAGAGTCTCCTTCTTTCCACAGAACATGGAAATTTCTGGGGTCTTCCAATTCTCAATCTCAAGCCTTTTCTCTTTGCCATGCTGTCAGCAGAAAAGGCAAAGAGCTAATCAGGTAGAAACAGTGTTCCTATAGATGCTTTGGTTCTGCTAAGTATTAGAAACACTTCATATCCCAATTCAATCTGCCAGAGGTTGTCTCATAATGGACTCCATTTTGTGAAATGTGTACAATATTTGAAAGTCCCCACAGTGGGTATAAAAAATGCAAGTATATGGATAAAAACAATAAAAATAGAAAGATCCACCTAACAATTAAAGAAAAAATCCCAAGCAACCTTTGGCAGCTGAGAGCAGTTTCATCCTTCTCTTGCCCATTTAAAGTGTCAGAAGACCCAACAGACAAGTTACAGCTTGTGAGAAAGAGCAGGTCATGGGAGCTGTTGCCGATCAAGTACTCAAGAGTCCCCTCATTCAGCCTGCCCTTGTGCAAAGATTCTGAATTCAGTGTTCACACCTAAAACTCCAGTATTGTCAGGAGTTTGTCCTTTTGAGCTCATGAACTAATAAATCTGAAATTGTTTCTTCTAATAGAATTCGGAGAGCCTGAAGGGAGCTGTAAGACCCGCTATGGTCAAGAAGGAAGGGGCTCACCCAAGACTGAACGACGAAGCCTAAATGAACAAATAATAACTCTGCTATTGTAAACATCATGATGTCCTTATCCTTTGGGGAAGCTCCTGTGATTTTATGAGATTATTTTCTTACCAGCAACAAGCCTAAAGTTCCCTACCTTTGAACTGTATCCCATAAAAGAATGTACAAGCTAAATAAGATGCTATATGCAGTCCTAAATGTGTCTGCTGAAATGAGGTGTTGGAGAATAGGCATGTCATGGGATAAAGACTGTAAAGGAATGATGTCATCTTTCCAATTTGGTGCTGAAATATAAATAAACCATGTTGTTCATGTGAATACCAGATCTGGGGGAAATGTACACATAGCAATTGTGAGCGGAAGAGGCTTCTTTTGATTAGTCTGGATTGGAAGAGAAGAGTGTGAAACAGAGATGAATAATGAGAGTTTGGCCTGATACTCTAGACCATTTTTATTTATCTTGCTTGTAACATATCCCCTAAACTGTGACCGATGTCTTACAGGCTGGTTGCTAGTTTTCCCTTCTCTAAAAAAAAAGTTTGACCAATCCAGCCTCCTTAATGGTCAAATTGAAAAATGGATCTCTCTTAAATTATTACTTTTTAAAATCATCTTTACCTATTCTCCTCCCCACCCAATTATATTGGTTTCCTAACATACCAAGGATAAGAAGCCATGAATATCACTCCTTGAAGATAAATGGAAGAAAAACTGCGGAAATTTGTAACAAGGATAGCATTTGTACACTGAACAGGTGACTCCGTGTACAATGGTTCATATCCCTGTAGTCGTGTGGTTGACATCTACACAAGGTGCCTACCCCAAAGCCTCAAATAGCAGCTCTTCTGGGCAGTCATAACTGGGGTCCCAGGAAAACTAATATGGAGTTAGAGAGAAGGAGAGCTTTCCACAGCACTACACTTGGGAACTCAAGAACTCACTTAGCAATGCGCTGAAGCCCATTTTTATTTCCTTTTCAGTGTCTACCAAATGGCTGACCTGACACGTTTGCCTTTGGCTAACTGTGTTATATTCATTTTACTATATTATGTCATGACTGCTGAGACATCTCTAATCAGATTTCATTTTCCACTTCCTCTTTCTTCCAGGCGCCACCTTATTTCTCTAGGGCGAAAGACTCCGTTAACAGCTCTCTTGCCGCACTCTGGCCTCCCACTAAACACAATCTATAGCTGGGGTGACATCAGACCCCTGTTAGTCCCTGACATCCAGCTCCTCAGAGACTCCCACTGCCCTCAGGAAAAGAGCCCCAGCTTCTCCAGACTTATAGAGCTCTTGCAGGGCATTTCCTTGCTGTCCACCTCCTAAACTCACCTCTAATGCTCCCTGTTCCTATGCCTGGGATGTTCTATTCCCTGTTCCTGTCATGTTCTTCATCCTCTCTCCCTTCACCCGAGTTATACCCATTTCATCGTCAACACCATCACCTCAGAAACACCTTTCCTGATCCTGCCTCAGAAGGGATTAGGTGTTCTTCCACTGCCTTCCCCAGGACCCTGTGCCCACCTCCAGGCAAGCCCCCTTCCATCACAACACTTATCCCAATGAAAGGTACATAATCACCTGCTTTCTTGGCTTTCTCCACCACTAGGTTGAAATTCTCTTGAGGGAAGCACTATGTCTGAATCACCCTTGTACTCACAGAGTCTGGTGCATACATAAGTAGTAAGTAAATGTGTGTCAAATAAATGAACAGATGTATGAAGGAATGAATAAAATACTTTAGAACAGATGAAAGGGAAAAGTACATCATTAGCCGTTATGATGAGCCAGTTGAGTATATAACTCTTCGTGGGACAGTTTAACCCTTCCTACTGTGGATTTGTCTTTGGTTGCTGTTCTTGGGAGTGGGAGAGCAGGTTAAATGTATAGTTTTGGAGCTGCTGGAAAAATTGAATTGGTTTTCTTCAAGATATATTCCATTCTTTAGTAGAATGGAACTCGTGAAATATTCCATGTCCCTGGTTCCTTACCTCATTAAGAATAAAAGGTTTGGTGGTGTTATGGGATTCATTTCCTTACCATCCCTTAGACTTAAGAAGAGCAGGGGCCTTTGGAACACTTTTGTTAGCACCAAAAGTCAACCATGGAAAACTGAAACTTTATCCATTAACTAAAATCCCTGATGAACACCATCTGTGAAAAGGTGCCATATACTCCATCTCTTTGACATTTCTGAAGAGTTTATCCAAGGAACTCTTGAAACAAAATGAAAATCCTTGATTGACTAGTAATAGACTCAATAGCTTAATGGCAATATGTAGCTATAAAAGTGTAATATTAAAACTGCCTTTAAAAATATTTTAGCAAGGTGGCAATAATGAACTATGCTTTGATCAGTCATCTGGATCAAG